GCAGTTTTCATGTAAATATATAGTTTGTTGGCATTTGCCACAGCATTAAAGTTGAAGATGGAGGAGGACAGTTGGTACACTTCATGCTCTGCCACACTAATATTAGGGTTGATGCTGCATTTGGAACTCCTTGTCCGACAAAATGGACAAGATGTTTTGACCATTCGGAACCCCTACTCTTGTGTTCTGGACAAGATGCCCAGCTTGTCCATCTAGCCCTGGTTCTCGGTCGGGTGAGCAGGACGAAATGACGTCACAATAGATATTGTTGGTAAACAATGACAGCTGCAGGCAACCATAAGATATTGATAGGTAATTGTATGGCCTTTAATTGTTATTATCACAGGGTATTTTGTGTTTGTCACTTGTAGGTAAGTTATCTGTACTTTAAATGAGTTACAAAGCCTATGCAGCTGGTTGCATTGTGGTCAATGAAGGCCTTGGAAGTTCTGAACACAGCCTTGTTGTCCTGCTGGTCCTGACAAGTTCTATGGATGAGCAAGACAAGGAATTTTGAACACAGCATCATTGCTATAGCTGGCTGGTGTTCACTGAAGCTACATAAAAATGGCCAGTAAATATCATACACAATTCATTAATCCTCGTTTCAAAGAAATCAGCTATAAAGTCATTATAATAAGAAATACCTTCGTTAATATCCGTGACATTCAGTTAAGAAACATTACGATGAGCTTTACCATTAACCAATTGGTAATAGCTACACTGTCGCAGTTCAACGTGCATCCCAGTTTTGATGTCTTGATATACACGCAATAACCTTACCATAGTGACAGCACTGCAAAAACCGTATATTGCTCGCGACAAAAAAATCCCGCAATGAAGATATCGGACATAAAACGCGTTGTGTTCTTGCACCAAAAACGACAGCATGCAAGCTTGTCCTTTCTCCACTTATCAATATCAAGTATTTCTTACTTTGGAAATGGTTAAAATAAGTCCTGTAAAATATATAGACAATTAAGCTTCATATCAGACCAAAAAGGCAATATGTTACCAAATACTTACCCTAAAATTCACAAAGGAATATAAACCTTGAAAAGATTGTTTTCCAAAGCTGCGGCTCCAAAATTGTTACCAACTCGAGGTGAAAGCTTTGCGATGCGCAAATGTATTCATTTGTGCTCATTATCCTTAATCTATCATCAGGGTACTCAGTATGGATATCATTTATAATGAAAATGTTTTCTTTGTTGGTATATGATAATAAAAGCTGACAATTTCATTCTTTTACCAGAAGCAAACAAAAATTAATCGAAAAACGATCTGGTAACACTGACGGAGAAAATACACAAAGGATACAGGTATAAAACCTTTCCTGTCAAGTGTCATATGACGATTGTTTTGGTTATGGTATTTAACTGATAATACCAAAGACATGCTAAAAAGCATCATGGCTCTTGGTCATATATTTTATGGGAATAACAAAAGGACAACGTACATTTTTCTTCCTCGGAATAATATTAGAATCAAAGCATAACCAGACACGCACATACACACGTGCGTTGTGTGTGTATGTGTATGTATGTATGTGTGTGTATGTGTGTGTGTGTGTGTGTGTGTGTGTGTGTGTGTGTGTGTGTGTGTGTGTGTGTGTGTGTGTGTGTGTGTGTGCGTGCGTGCGTGCGTGCGTGCGTGCGTGCGTGCGTGCGTGCGTGCGTGCGTGGTGTGTGTGTGTGTGTGTGTGTGTGTGTGTGTGTGTGTGTGTGTGTGTGCGTGCGTGCGTGTGTGTGTGTGTGTGTGTGTGTGCGTGCGTGCGTGCGTGCGTGCGTGCGTGTGTGTGCGCGCGCGCGCGCGCGCGTGTGTTTTTACTTTAACTATGTTCTTACATAGATGTTTTAATATGGGACAAGAGCTAAGCTCATATGGTACCGTCTGCTATATTAAAATTATCATATACCTTTTTAAATTGCTGCACATTTTTTGAGCACTCAACGATATTTGAAAGATTGTTCCATGTTTCAATAGTTCTGTTTGGGCAACTAATTTCTTGACATCTTTCTCGCCTCTTTTTACTTTCAACTTTTTACTATGTCCTCTCGTCCTTCTTGTGTTCAAAATGATAAAGTCATCTTTGTCCATCTTCACTCTTCCTGTAATATAGCTGAACATCATCATCACCTCTTTTTCTTCTTTCTTCCAAAGTAGTAAGACCTATTTTCTGTAATTTTTCTTCGTAGCTCATATCTCTTAGAGTAGGTGCCCTCTTGTGGCTGCTCTTTGAACTAGTTCTTGTTTATCTATATCATTTTTTAAGTGTGGACTCCATATCACTGCACCATACTCAAGACTAGGTCTTATGATGGCTGTAATGACCTTCTTTTCCGTGTCTTCGGCCGCTTGCACGAATGCCCTCTTCATGTTGGCAGTCAGCCCTAGCATTTTATAAACCTTGTCATTTATATGATCATTTGGGCCTAGGCTCTTGACATGATTATTCCAAGGGCCTTTTTTCTGCAAACATATTTAGATAACTACCTGGGCTTAAGTTTGACCCTAAACCATTTATGAAAATAGTAAACATAATCGGCGCCAAGACCGATCCTTGAGATACTCCGCTAGTTACTCGTCGCCATGCAGAGTGTTTCCCTCTGATTACGGTTCTCATCTGTCTTTCATGAAGAAAATCTTCCATCGATTCGAGGAGATTGCCTTTCACTCCACCTAGGCATTGTTTTATCCTTCTCTCTCTCTCTCTCACTCTCTAATGAATTACTACATGTATGCTAACACTAAGGGACCACATATCGTTTTTTATATCTTTTTTGAACAAGTGCTTTGGAAATCACACTCATTTACCAAACTGATCGACCTCTTTTTCTCTTTCGTAATGAATCCAATTGATTTTGAGATGTAGGGAAAAGAGGCAAATTAACTAAAATAAGGATTACAATCTTAGAAAAGTGGCAAAAAAGTGACAGTCAAAAAATATTGAAATTTCGAGGTAACTATTTATAATTCACAGAATCTTTTTGTCACAGGGAGCTATAGAATATCTTTTCAATTTCACAATCACTATTTTTTGCACAATGCCCTCCAAAATAAATAATCTTCAAAAATAAAATGGTTTTCTTATACATGTGTTTAGACAATAGATGAAACATGGCTCTGTACTCCTCTTACCAAATGAAAGTGAAATGAAAGAAGTCTAAACACTAATGTAAAGTTGTTATCCGTGACGGAAAGGAATATTTTGAGAGGAAAGTTCCTTTCAGAGGCCTATAGAGGGCTCGGGCATACCCTCCCCCTTCAAGGGCCACACCCTCAATTCCCCCTCCCCCCCCTTAAATTACCCATGTATAGCTCTGATCATAGCGTAATTCCTATGATACAAAAAAAAAAAGTGGGGGAGCTTGTAGCGCCCCAGAAACTGGCTGTGTTCACTTCGCTCGCCAGCCTTGCCCCCTCGTCCTGAACCTAAAATGACGCTCCTGCAGAGAAGTGCTGCGGGCTGCGACGCAGGAAACCACTACCATCAGATAGCATAATGTAGATTTTAAGTAGTAAATACTGTAATAATCATGATTTTCCTACATCTTCATTTTGGCGCCCTCTACACTGAACACGATATACCAACAACAGGAACCTGGAAAACACACACTAAAATATAAGGAATTTAATTACTGCAGAAACTTACAAGCCTACTCCCATAAGACCGACTGCATGAAAGAATGGAACATGTGTTTTAAAGATCAGCTGAACTACTCATATCTATTACCTTTATTTGTTGACAGGGAACGATCATATGAACAACAACAGAAGGTATATTTTCACTCTTATTACTTTGAACCAACGGTAGCGGTACTGATAATCGCGGTAAGGGATCGGTTGAAACGAATTAAGAACCTAAGCATCAGTTTACTATTTAGTACACATCTATTTTTATGCAAAACTATTCTCGAAATATCTTATATAATTTATTTATATTTTCATTTGCTTCAATTTTAAACATGACTAAATTTGAGCAAACAGGTCCACTTTGATGGCAATTTTGAGAACTGGAGGAGGATATTCCACATTTTTTTTTTTTTTGGGGGGGGGGGGGTTAAAGGCAAATCTTAAAGCGAGTGTCCCCTAAATGTCAATAAAGGGCTTAACAAATGTCTAGGATCTTTCTGAAAACAGAAAGCTCTCAAAATATGTTAATGAATATCGCACATTGGTTTGATATTTGGTAGACGGTCCTCCTAAAAGTTAAAGAAACGTAAGAGATACGGCAATGTAATTCACGTATCACCTATAAACATGTAACTTATAGGAATACATGTGTCGGAATTAGAATAAAATGAATAACGCGCAATGTGACAATTTATGTTATTCAAACTTTGTTAGTTTTCATTGTAATACTTTTGCTGTCGTTACCCTCGCCGATTCGCTTGGAAGCAGAGATGGAGGAGAGTAAACCTGTAGAATATAAACACATCAGAAAACTTCGCAAAAAATTGCGGCAAATTGAATACCTTGAACTCTTGAACCGGGACCTAAATGAAGAGGAGATTATCAAGGTAAAACATATTTTGTTTTATGCATAACTGAATATTTAAAGCGTAAGAACATGAACAAAACTTGAAGAGGTTCCATACTTTTAAAGTTTCCACCAGCCTTTTTTTCGCCGATATATATATTTTTGTCATAATTGATACATCTCATTGGTTCTGAGTAGGATAAATGTTTAATAAGCAACAGTAGTGTCTTTCAAACGACATCTCATTTCGTTGTCTCTGATCTTTCCAATCTACATGGTCTGCTACAGTCCAACCAGATAATGGTGTATTTTCAAGGCATTGCTATTCCACCTTTGCTTCAATCAAACCTCATATATATTTGCTTTGGCAAGATAGAGCTTGGGCTGGTATTTCTTGTGAAAGTCTGACGTTTTGTTCCCAGTATATTTGTCCCAAATATATTGCCTAGAATGTTGTCCCAACAAACCCATAAGCTGGAGGACTACAACTACAACTGGATATTCTGCTAAAACAAAT